TAGTGAAAACACAAAAGACGTGATTGGTGGGGCGGAGCGAGGGGGTGGGGCCAGACACTCCTATGGGTTCGGTGGCACTCAACCGTTGAACGAATCTCGAGTAATCATCTCTCGATACCGCCAGATTATTGCTCTATCTTTTTTTCCCGTTCATTATTGATTGTTCTAAGCTTTGTGTCGGCATGCCGAAATGAAATACCCTTTCTTTAATTTACCCACACCAATTTTGAATGAAGTAAAAAGGAAAAAAGATTTGTGAAACACCGCTGACTTCACTTTGGTTTCACTATAACACCAATAGTAACATAACACTATAACAAATACCAATAGGTCTGCTGGTAATAAATTTCTTCAGCCTTTTAGAACGCTCTTATAGAGTTATTTTACCGAAAGCTATTATTCATTTTTTGTGCTTACGCAAACTAGTAAGCTAAATCGCTGCAGACTCTGAGCATCGCCAAGGCGAAGTATTGAGTTGATAATATCCGCGCCTACAAAACACTATTTCTAACAGTCAAGTCGGCCTAAGCCTACAAACAGGCGGCTGAGAACTACATGGGAGGCGTTTAGGAGTCGCCTTCAGAAAATAAGCTTATTCCGCTCCTCCGAGAGAGACTGGCAAGGTACTTGTTTGCACTGAGCCCCACATTTAGAGTCAAGCAAACTGTTCCATGGGTATCATATTGCTAAAAACAGCAATGAATATGGGCCTCATTCCTGACACCGAAGTAGCCTCTGATACCGCAGCGTCGAGCAGGATGAGTACGGAAAGGATGCTAAGATCTCAGGGAGGAACCTTGCTGCCAAAATAAATGGACTTAAATGACAATCTGTACCTATAATACACGATTATAATACACGACGACCACTAGCTCACAAACCCGCTGAAGATGATCAATTGGTTTAAGCAAGAAGGATAAGGTGCGATGTCATTGGCCTAGCTCAGACGAGAAGAAGCCATTTTTGTAACGCTGTTTACGACACCGCAGAGGAACTGCTTCTTGGAACATGCGATCGCAGAGGTGTCAATGGCGCTGGCGCCCGCGTCACACCGAATTTAACCGTGAACATCGATTCATTTGAGCAACTGACAGCCTTTGTCTGACATTGCGGTTGAAACGATATGGATCAATGCCGGCATTTATATAGACCTCGAAAAATTCTCCGTAAAAGACTATACATTCTTTAAGATTATTGCTGGAGATCTTAACACGAAAACTGGGCCCAGAAGCACGTCTGAGGAGCGTCACCTTGGTACCTACGAACTAGAATGAAATGAGCAGGGTGAGAGGTGATCTGAGTTTATCATGACGAAGCAAACCATTAATGGAAATTCACAATTCCAAAAGCCTCACTCTCAACGACGGACGTGGGAGTCTCATAGTGGAGAGTATCATAATAAAAACAGTAAATTCAAAGTTTTGCCTGACCGATGTTGCTGCTGTTTCTAAATTCTACACCGGATCAGACCATCGCCCCATTTGCAGAACGTTCCGTTTTTCGCGGAAATGAGAGAAAGCAGCTAATTTCAAACAACAAAGTCCTAGAACTACCATGGACTGAAATGTATTCAAATCATTAGTCGACTCTAGGGGTAATACTAATATCGACAATATCGACAAAAAAAAAACGACCGGCTCGTAGAATATCTTTACGTGAGCGCTATGAAAGCCGAGAGTCCTAAAGTCACGAAGAGACGCTTGTCTCCGCAGACACTCGAGGTGATACGTTTACGCTGAACCGCACGAACTACAGGCAACCGAAACCTTACGTCCTAACTTGCGAAACGCTGCAGAGAAGCGATAGAAGAAACCTCAAAGAGAGACGAGCAGCAGTTATGACAAAAGCTGCAGAAGCTGGAAAATCATTATCAAAGCTAAGTGAAACTTGATCAGTTACAAGATGAAGATGACTACACCGACGGGGCACCTGCAGCTTCTAGAAGGGCAATGGAGAAAGCCATCAGCTACCACCACTCGGATCTCCTCGCTAACCAAGTCTGCCTATCGTCATATAGATCAGAAGAAATTAATTCTATCGTTCCACCGCCCTCCCTTCCAAACTCGTACATGCTATATCGCCGATGAAGAATAGGACAGCGCCTGGTTCAGACAGAATTGGACAAGAACACCTTAAGAACCTGCCGCTAGTTCTCATCAACACCCTGGCTTGGCTCTTTGCTCGCTACCTTTCAGAATGCAAAGTTTCCATTCGATGGAAAACCTGCAAGATAGCGCCGCTGTTCAAAAAGGGAGAACTTCACGACATAGGCAATCATCGCCCAATTTGCTTGCTGTCGGTTGCCTATAAACTCATTACTCAAGTCATTCTAAACGGGATTGGCAGAAACACTGTACGAGGGACAGCCTTGCGAAAAGGATTCAGACTACATCCACACGTCACACGACTTACTGAAGTATCACGATAACTTAAACTAGCACTCTGCTTCATCTTCAACGATTTGAAGAAAGCCTTTAATTTGGTGGACACAAAAGCGGTTATAAAGGGTCTCAACAACCATGAAGTCTCTACTCAGTACATAACGATCCTTCGTGAGCTAGAGATTTAACCAGCAAAATATCACCATTCTATAACAATTTTATCATCCCATCGACGTAAGGGGAGTGGTTTGACAAGGCGATACAATTTTGCCAATATTATTCTCTGCCACCCTCCAAACTGCCATGAGAACATTAGAAGAGGGCGATAAGCAAGTAAATTTAAAGGTCGACAATACACCATCTTCGCTTGCTCATGATTTCGTCCTCACAACACCAAGCATCAGCTAAGCAAAACGAATCTTGACCGAGTTCGATAACGCCTGTAGAAAGATTAGCCTTTAACTGAATCTAAACAAAACATTGTTCATGAGGGAAGAGATGGGCTTTGAATGCGCCATTCATGCTCAACGAAACGCACATCCATTGATGTAGAACGATGTGCAAAACTTTCGCGTCAGGCGGGACTAGAACCCGCACCTGACTCTTTCCGGGAATGCGTGCTCTATCCGTTACACTACTGACGCGCATTTTACACATCGCTCTTTTTACGCTACAGCGCATCTATCTGTCAGCCGCCAGCCGTCAACGGCGTGGCCCGGTGACAGATAGATGCGCTGTAGCGTGAAAAAAGCGATGTGAAAAATGCGCGTCAATAGTGTAACGGATAGAGCACGCATTCCCGGAAAGAGTGAGGTGCGGGTTCTAGTCTCGCCTGAGGCAAAAGTTTTGCACATCGCTCTACATCAATGGGTATCTAATTATAACATCATAACACCGCTAGAAGCGGTTAAATAAAATAGGATTTCGTTTGAAAAGCACATCTCTAAATGCCCCAGTTACCTTAATCTAGTCGTGAAATCAACATGATGAACGACCTAACTCCAGAGTTGAGCAGGAGGAAACGAGCGGCTTGGAGAGCGTTTAGGAGCATCGAGGATATAGTGAAGTAGACAAAGAATCGGCCCTAACGTATGCAATGGAAACCTGGTCGCTACGCAAGCAGGATGAAAGATCACTTGGCCTTATTGAACGCACAGTCGAAAGGTCGATGCTAGGAGTATCCCGTATCTAGCAAATGAGAGAAAGGATTCGAAGTTGCGACCTGCGTCAAAGATTGAAAATCAGAGACGTGATGCGCTTCAACGACAACCGATGGACGAGAGCCGTTAGCGTAAGCGGTAGTGAAGGAAATTTTTGTAGATGCTTAGTGTGTCATTATTGAGATAGACTGACTATGTCTATCAACGGAAGAGTATTTTCGTCCTCAACAGGCTGCGGACCGTGTTGATATCTCACTTGGCAGGCGATGTGGTCGCCGATAGGGGGTGTGCTTCATTGAAAATGTGATAGATTTCCAAAAAATTCTAGCTGCTTACCGCCGTTTATGTGGAATTTATCTTCAGCAAATGGTAGAATATGTAGAAAAAATCTCGATAAGGCTATGGGTAGTAAGGAGCATTGTAGATATTCACTTGGAACATTGCATCTTAGAAGGAAAGATAAGTCCTGTCATCCCCCAAACTGACTATGTCTATCGACAGAAGAGTATTTTCGTCCTCAACGTGACCGTGTTGATTCGCACCTGGCAGGCGAAGCGGTCGCCGTTAGGACTGGGTTCCTTGGGATATCAGGCACTTCACAAGAAGACCGCCGACTCTATGGTCCGATTTTTTCACGAAAAGCCTAGAAGAAGGATACGATGTTCACCGAATTCATAGAGCGAGGAGGACCCAATGGGCTACTCTTGCACACAATAGGGAGGTGCTACTGGTATCCGCTCAGGTCACACGACGATCAACGGGGCGGCAGGTGATGCAGGTGAGGCTATCGGATCATTATTTAAACATCAAAAACGAGCACAGAATAAGCTTTTTCTGAAGGGTCGAAACATGGGTGGAGACAATGGAAAGGACCAAATCTGGTTTACTTGTTGAACCGCATTGTTCTGCGTCACGTGAGCACTTTGCTTTCATCAGTCAGCGTAATCATTGAAAATTTCATAACGCTCCGACTTAGATAGGATTTTCCACTGAAATGTGAAGCTCGAGTTCTGCATTATTCCGCCGACATTTGCAAAGCTGTTTCATGTAAATGTAGCGTGATTTTCTGGCGAACTGAACGAAGAAGATGCAGTGAAAGAAAAGAACTTTGATCCGTTTTCTGAGCATCTTAATTCTCACCATCTCTCTTAATGTTAGGTAGTCGGTGGCCCAGCGGCCACTTACCGGTGCCTATTATTTTGATGCGCAAAGAATCATCAACTAAAATTTGAATTTGAAAACACAATGGTTGACTTCTATTGTCACGAAAAAAGTGAGAAAAGTGAGTCGCTTCGTAAGATGTTGAATCGAGCCACACTGCGCCTTATGTGATTTGATGAGATCTGTTTATATTTTTGAAACTATATTTGACACACAGATTTGATAGTATTTCAATGCATTTTGCATTGTTATGATGTTTTCTATATACCTAAGAGAATTGAGAGGTGAACAAAAACGCGGCCTCAGGCGGGAATCGAACCCGCGTTTCATCCTTTCCGGTGATGCGTGCTCTACCCCTACACCACTGAGGCACATTTGCCCGACCCACTCATTCTTCAACATCTCAATGTTAGCTATCAGCTACCAACCTTTGACAGGTTTGGTCGAGTATGTGATTTCGCTTTATAAACCCAGTTGAGCTGATAGCTACTCTAATTACTAATACTCGGATTTATTAGTGTTTCAATGCATTTCGCATTGTTATGATGTTTTCTATATACCTATGAGATTTAGTGGTGAACAAATACAACAAACATACAAACATACAAATACAACATACAAATAATACAAACATAATACATACATACATACAATATGATACAACATACAAATACAACTATATTTGACAGAAAATTAGTGTTAGTTTTTCGTAGGAAAAAAAATCGTCTTACAACAATCGAAAGGGAAGAATTCCCAATATTGATGGATATTCGCCTATTCTCCATACTGCAAATGATTTCTTTCTGCTTTTTGGAAAGCCAAATGGACATCGTGTTTGCTATTTCATTTCCAGTTCTTCAAGAAAAGGATGCCTTATTGATTTTGCTTTTTGTTAGAGTTCTGTGTATGTCAATGTTGAGCTTTCAACGCAAAATTTCCGGAAAAGTAGATCATTAAGATAAGTCTTCATGTACTATTGCCTTCTAAATGCTCAATCTGTAATCAAAATTTACACTTGCTGAATTAATTCCGTCGATCTCGACAAGCATCGCGTGGAAAGGTTAGCACAACGGTGCATTCGTGGATGCTTCTAAGATCTGTCGTTAAAGTTGATTTTTTATATACATTCCCTTCTTCCATTCTGCACAGTAAGTTTGTAGCTTCATCATGTTATTTTAAAATCGACACTTTGAGCGAGAGTGAAAATTTGAGAGGTGAAGTACAAACGTGTTTTCCTGTTCTACCGTGTAATCGTGAAAGAAACTAATATTCTTTCAAAACTTGTTATACCAATCTTCCTGATATTCATCTCCAAATCTCACTTTTAAATGGATCGTCTATGTACCGTTTTCAAAGCACAACCTTATGTATAACGCAGTGGCAGATTGAAAAATGCAGTACAGTTTGATCAAAAAAGTTCGTCCTCTTGTATTCACTTCATAATGGGGTGAAATCAGCCTAAATTAAAGTTGAGCGAAGTGAAACAACTAAAACAGTATTGCAGAACACACATTCTTCCATTCACATGAAAAGAGCAGTTGCGTGATTAAGTTCACTTACGTAACAGATCCAAATCTGCAACGAAAGTGCAACAGGCTTTTGACGGTCATGAGTGAGCCGATGCGCACCCACCGTATGAAGCTGTAAGTGCGTTGACAGCGCAAGCGGCTTACGAGACATAAATAACATTCGACTTACGGAATCAAAATACACGAGGACAATCAGATCAAGCATGACTTCATAAGTTTAAGTGAATCCCACCTAAGAAAAGGTTGGGAACATTCGTAATTTCATGGAGAATGTTGATTACACGTACTGAGACTGCACAGTACAAGGTTCACGCCTGAGTAGCAGAAACTCTCCTTGTCGATTTCTTTTTGGATTTTTGAAAATCGTGAAAAATTAGCGAAGAGTTTTCCGAGCAGATATTTCAAATTCCATGCAATGATGGTGACTTTTACCGGTACCTTAATTTTTCCCATATATGTTTTTTTCAACTCAAAATCTAATTCGCGAACTTTTAAATTTCTCAGCAATCTAGCTTTAAGCATCTGTTCTTGGTATGCAGCAATCTAAAATGATCCAGTATGAAATTATTTGATGCTATATTATAATGTCAACAACCAAAATAATTGCGCCAACGCTTACATGATGAAGTTTTTTTGACTTGAATTTATACCATAACGAGTTATTCCGCAATGTGAACCATCCACGAGTTCCCTAGGCCACGAAGCACAAGAGAGTTACGAACATGCATGGCTTTTCGATTCGACAAGTTATGGTCCTATTTTTGGAGTGCCAAAAATGCTTCATTTTTGTATGGTTTGGGTACTAATTTGATGAGAGAGCTGGTAAAGCAACATAGGCTGGCCTTAAAATTTGCTTTGATTGTTTGGCTAAGATAGAAGCCTGAACAATCGATTTCCGGCCACTACTAAGCTGTAGATATATAAATTGTTGTTTTGTCATTTGCTGCAGAGAAGACAAGATAGACAAACGAGTTGTCAAATGTACAGTCATATTACATAAAAACTGCATGTGAAAAAAACGAAAGCAAATTCGCTTCCGTTCCTGAACGTTCAATCGACCTGTCCGTAAGCACATGCAACTCAAAGCGGTATCGAAAGTCAAGCAAAAAAAAATCTGGTCCGTCATTTACTGGTGCCCGTTTTCGTATTTCGACGAAAAAACGGGCTTGGAAAATAGACAGAGGATTTCCCGACACTAATGCAAAACAAATAATCTTACTCTAGATCTGGGTGGCCATACACATTGATTTAATCATCTTTTGTTCATGAAATAAAAAACTCGAAGACATCTTAAGTAACATTCCACTGACTGTGTGTTTCACTCTCCACGATGTAGTGGGGGTATATTGGAATCTTATCCTAGAAATCAAATTATCAGTGTAAAACGACAATTTGAATTGATTTTCGGCCCACTTTGACTACGAGAACGAGGACGTTCGGTGCATGCGTAGTAAAATATTAACACATGTACCACTTTGAACATGTGCATCCAAACGTGGTTGACTGAGTGGTTGATTTGGATGTTGCCTACACTTGAAACTTAAATTTCAATCACGCTTGCGAATTTCCGAAATACTTTTTCTTCAACAAATTTGATTAAAAATGTTGAAATGTTTTATGGACATTGTTGCATAGAACCTCAGTATAGAGTAATTCTGTAGAATTTCTTTGTTTGATCTACTGCAACACCAAAAACTTTCGTTATTAACCGGAAAACTAAAGTCGAAGCGAATATGTTGAGGGCGAAAATGGTAATTTGACTAAAGCATCTATGATTTCATGACCGACTGATATCGATCTCGTCACTAATCAATAGTTCATAATTCTTTCTTGCTGAGTCAAATTACGAAGCTGCTAAAACAACCGATCCAAGCACCTGAAGTGCGGTGAATTTTGTCTTCCTTTCCTATCCTTTAAGAGGAAACTTATCTGTCTAGATTACGGTTTTCTAAGTAAATTCCAAGAGTTTCATTGACTCTTTCTAGAAATTTCAACTAATCGTGTCCGAGGAATCATCAGCTCAGTTCTTGTTTCTATTTCTAGCCTTTTCGCAAATAATTCAGTGTCTTAAACCTCTATGCCGTGCGTTTTTTTATGATTGATCGTTTCTTCATAGTAGACCCATCTGAGGTAAACAAAAGTTTGGCAGGTTTGTTTTATATGTTTTTTTGACTTTTGAAAGAAAACCAGAAGGCTGTGCTTTTCTGCTAATTGACAGATTGACCATCACTATCGTATAAGTGCTTTTCAAAACTAATTTTTTTTTCACTTCAAAAAGGCAGGCGAAGAGCCCAAATTGCTGGTGACGAAACTTTCTCATAATAAAAAATTCAATTTTTGATTTTATGAGGAATTGTTTCTCATATTGATTTTGTAGAAGTACCATTGCCCATCAGACGAAAAGGCTTTCGACATTGCTAAAACTAGTTGCAATGGGAAAGGCTTCTCTGACGCATGCGACCAACAATAGCAGCATCGCTTTCCGTGAGAAAAACGAAGGTCGTATGTCGCACGATCGGAGCATCTGTCGGAATCCAATTCGAAGAAAGCTCTTAGTTGATTTTGGAAGAGGACGACTATCTCAGAGGAAAAAGCTGGTAAACTAAGCTAGGATTTGAAAAGACTCAAAGAACATTTTTCCTGAACGCCTCACTAAAATTCTGTCTTAGGAGGCATCGATCTAATTAGGAGTAACCTCACCGTATTTGGTTACAGCAGCAAGAGTGCTTCACTTTTCAGGTAGATAGGTGGCATGGAACTAAAGGTACAGATATTGCTGAGCCATTTGAAAAGGTTAGCGTAATATTCAGCTATAGTTGAGTAGTGTTCCAGAAAGTGGATGGCAACATGCGGTGCTGGGCTGTGTTCAACTTCAATGCGAATTATCAAATATTTAAGAGTGGGATTCACCAGAGCTTTTGCCAATTCTCAATTAAAATGCTGTGAGGTCATAAACTAAGCAATATATGTGACGTCATTCAAAACAGATTTGATTTTATCATAACGCTATTACAAGTAGAAAGAACATTTTCAGATGACAGATAAGAAGAAAACCAAGGTTGCATGTGGACATCACGAATATGAGGAGAAAGGTTTGAATGATTGTACTTTGCGACAAACGCGATGTTCAGAATCCGGTAATCATAAAGTATTATAGTATGTTGCGTTATTCAACAGTATTTCCTAAATCAGTTATAAGCATCATTACGGACATAACTGCAACAATCAACTTTCTTCATTTTTGCTATTTCGTGTAGCGCATTCCAAGAAAAAAAGATAGAATTTATTTCATTTGGCCCTCCTCTTGCGATGGCATGATGTTATAATAAACCAAGTGATGTGGAGCGGTGTGCAAAAACAGTTGCGTCAGCTAAAATTGAACTCACAATCCACCCTATCCGGGACCTCGTGCTGAACCGTTCCACTGTCGACGCCTATTTTCAGCACGCGCCCCCGCATAGGGTGGAATATGGGTTCGAATCCCAGCTGAAGCAAATGTTTTTGCACACCACTCTACATCACTGTGTATATTGTAACATCTTATCACCGCAAGAGGCGATCAAATAAAATGAATTCTGATTGATCATCAGTACCAATATCTGTCAACATAAGTGGGTTCAGTGTCGATAGCGACTACCCACGCCAGGCCGTAGACGGCTGGCTTTTGACAGATAGTTAGAAAGAGTGGTGTCAAAACGGGCGTTGGCAGTGGAACGGTTCAGCACGCGCTCCCGGATAGGGTGAAATATGGGTTCGAATCGCAATTGGCGCAAGAGTTTTTGCACACCACTCCACTTCACTGGGTTTATTGTAAAATAAAGACAATTTGCAATTGTGCCAGT